GAGGCTGTCAGCCCGGTGCCACGGCCCGGGGCAGCACGGCCCCGGACGAGTCAGTCCCTCGCAGCCCAGCGCAGCTTGGGCGGTAAAACCAAGCTGAGGAGGACGCAGACCTCCACGCTGCGTGGGTGGGTGTCCGCTCAGGCCTGGAAGCGCTAAAAATACCCGACCGCGAAGCAAGTAGGCACGAGTGGCATCACGTAAACACGACGGGCACATCCGCGGTGCTCAGCGTGCCGGGCCACGGGTCTGAGCTCTGTGGCGCGGTGGGGACAGGGGAGCAGGAGTGGTGAGCCTACAGAGCTGGCGCGTGTTTAGGATTGTCTTATTTTACAACTGGTTTTGTTGCTTAGAAAATCCTTTCTTCTCTTTGCAATAACAGCAAGCTTCTGCCAGCGATGCGTCTGATGGTAAGGAAGCTCTTCCAAATGCTGCTTGTAGACAAAATTTAAGTGGGGCCTTTCTCCTGTCTTTGTGCTTCTAGGTTGCCAGTAAGATAAGGACCTTCCCTCAGCAGCAAGGCTCATCCTATCATACATGAGCCCTTCCCTTGGGAGGGGTGTTAAGTGGGAAAACAGAGGTCCTTTGGTTTGCCTATAGCGCTGTGGCACGGGTGCTAGAAGTGAGGTAGCGGGAGTTGACGGCACGTGATTTTGCGCTGCTGGCTTGATCGCCAACGTGCCTTGGGATAATTCTCCCAGATTAGCACCACGTGGATGTTAGGCGAAGTCCTTTGAGAGAGCTTGGTCAGGGCTGTTACTGTGCACCCAGTTGCCTTTGCTTCTCTTGTCAATAGATCTGTGCTGCTAATTTTTACTGTGACCCGCTATGTTGGCACACGAGAGATTTAAGGCTCCCAGTTCTCAGCAGCTGGCCTGCGCTTCTTATTTCTTCTGCCAGCCGGAGAGGTCCCCAGGTGATAAAAGTAGACTTTCTCCTAAAGGGATTTGCTTGATTGGCAACTCTGTGTAAACAGTAAAGGATGAGTTCAAAGTCTTTTTGGATGACCTAAACCCACAGAGCTTATGATAAGTACAAAGTGTGCAGTAGTTCATGTAACCATTTCCTCAAAAACAGGCTCCCGACATTATGTCAGGGATGGCCTGATCTGAGGAGATTCTTCACTTTTTTTTTCTGACAGAGGAATAGTTTGTGCATTCCTGTGTACCTGCCCCATTAGCACTTGCTCTCCTACTTACACTGTAAAGAAGCACTGCCTTTTGGGAACAAACAAAATGGAAACAGTCCAAGAAGCAGCTGCTGTAGGAAAAAAATCTGCTGGCATGTCCAGCCCAAGGCCACAAGATCAAAGACGCCCTCACCTGATGCACATGGGTATCATGACTTGCCAAGTTGCAGTCAGGGCAAAAGTCATGTTGACCTGACTCTTTTGATAGCCAGGTTTGACCCAGCAAGCACCGAAGAGCTGCATCAGAGTGGCATGAAGCCATCTACTGTGTTATTTCTAGTTAAACTATGTAAGAAGTTTTTATCTTTATCATATTCTCATCAGATCCCCTACTATACCTTATAGCGAGGGCTGGCAAAAGGGACTCCTTGATAATGATCAATGTCGGGTCTTGGGATAGGCTTCCTTTTTATCATCTGCTGCCCACCCCAGCAGTAACTGCTCCCTGTTGAGATCTGTGTCCTGTCTTGTACCCACTGTGTTCCTTCTGTTGTCCTCCTCCAGAGAGCTCACCATGGTCAATGAGACCCAGCATACCTGCAGTGCCAGTTCCAGCTCCAAGTCCGATGGTGGCAGCAGTAGTGGGAGCGAGAGCTCCAAGGACAGCTCACGCTGCTCCACTCCTGTCCTCGATGCTGACCGTCATGAGAGACTGCGGGAGAAGATGCGTCGACGGCAGGACTCTGGAGACAAGTGGTTCTCCTTGGAGTTCTTCCCTCCACGCACAGCCAATGCTGCTGTCAATCTCATCTCCAGGTGAGGGCTGCAGGGTGGGAGAGGCGAGAGATGAAGTGTCTTTGGTGGAGGGCTGGGAAATAGCTAATGAGGCAGGCTCTGCCCCATGCTCTGTCTCCCCTTCCAGGTGACGAAGCAGGTAGTGGGGCTGTGCTTTCGTGCTGAGGAGGGTAATGGACATCAGGTAACTTGTCTTCCTTGAAGGCCCCGAATAGTTAAGTGTCATGGTGGGGTTACTCAGGGGGCCAGACTGTTTCCCCTCTCCTATGCTCTGTGAAGATGGAACAACCCCACTGTTATGCTCTGGGGCTGAAGCAGAGTGCTGGGGGACAATAGAGCAGAAAAGTACCTAAAAACTGCTTAGTACCTGCTTAAAAGCAAAGAATATTAATTGATGGACAGTGTGTCCAAGTCTCTGGAACAGAGATTCCCATTTGTTTTCAGAATCATCCAGCCACTATGGCTTTTTTCTTCTTTCTGTTACCAAGGACTACAGTTTTAGCTTCCGAGATAGGTGTTCCCAGAGCTAAAGGCTATCCTGGAGCCCAGTGGGGAGCCCCAGGAGCCACCATGTACTCACCTGGAGGAGAAGAGGGAGTTTCATAACTCTTTTTGTAATGCTGTGTGCCAGTGCCAGGTTTACTTTAAACAGAAGGGCCTGTTCCAACCCAGAGCAGGATGGGAGACAAGTTAGGGGAGCCTTTGTTTCTTCTGTTAGGCACAGTTGGGAACACAGCAGAGATCTGGTCCATCTTTTCATGTTTGTGGCCTCTACAGTTAAAGCTGGGAACAGGGGGTTGCAACATAGTCTCACACCTCAAAAGGAATGGGACTTGCCTTGCTGTCTATCAGAAGACATATCAGTCTAATAGAGCATGCTGGGAAGAAGTTTATTCTACAGAGAACACTTAAGTTGCCTCTTTCTCAAAGAGATTATAAGCTCCTCCTCATACAGCCTTACAGGACGACATTCCTTATTTACATTGGCCACTTGCTAAACTCCTAGTTCAACACTTTTCTTGGTCTCTCCTGCTGCTGTCATCCATGCTGTCTGTCTGTTGCTGGCATTCCAGCAGTGAGCAAAATATCCCAGGCAAAGAGAGGGGAGTTGGCTACATGGTAGGCTAACACAGCTCCGAAATCCACAGGTTTGACCGCATGGGAGCGGGTGGTCCACTCTTCATTGATGTGACATGGCACCCTGCTGGGGACCCAGGATCTGACAAGGAGACGTCTTCCATGATTATTGCCAACACTGCAGTCAACTACTGTGGCCTGGAGACCATCCTGCACATGACATGCTGCAATCAGACCAAGGATGACATCACAGGGCATCTGCAGAAGGCCAAGCGGCTTGGGTTGAAGAACATCATGGCATTGCGTGGAGGTGAATCCTTTTATCCTGTGATGCATAGGGTTAAGACTGTATTGCTATTGTGTTCAATTCCAGGGTAAAAATGGAAAAATATGATTTAGAGGCTCCTTCTGCTGTGGGAATTAAAAGTTGAGACTGCATTTCACCTGATCCCTTTGTTAGCAGCCCTTCCAGCTCAAGAAGGGTAGACAAAAGCAGTCCATGGGTTAAACTGCAAACTTGGAGGTTTCATCTTCTATTCCTTTTGATAGCATGAGTTTTTTACAGCACTAAATCCAGCAAACAGTTGGAGAGAGCTGTGGATTTTGTTCTCTTTTCAGATCCTGTTGGTGAGGAGTGGGAGGAAGAAGTAGATGGCTTCAACTATGCTGCTGACCTGGTTAAGCACATTCGCAATGAATTTGATGATTATTTTGACATCTGTGTGGCAGGTAAATGTCTTTCATTGCAGAGTGTGGGGTAGGGACTGAGACAGGGAAATCAGCTCAGCAGTCCCTGTCTAGACCTGTGCTGTAAGCGACAGTACAATCAAGATAGGCTGCTCTCTAATTTCTAGTCTGTTGTCCTGACCACCAGGGTTTAACTTTTTTTTTCTTTTTCTTCCCCCTTCCCTGCCAAAGGCTACCCCAAGGGTCATCCTGAAGCAGAGAGCTATGAGGCAGACCTGAGGCACCTGAAGGAGAAAGTCTTTGCTGGAGCAGCCTTCATCATTACGCAGCTTTTCTTCCCAAGCCATTGGCATCACCTGCCCCATTATTCCTGGCATCTTCCCCATACAGGTGAAATCCAGTAATTCTGGTTCGGGGAGGGAGTAAGGCAGGGAATAAGAGGGAATTCTAAATCTCCTGCCACAAAATTGAGATCAAGTACCTGTGTTAGTGGGATGTCAGAAAAGGGCCTTGGAAAAATGAAAATTCCCTGCATCCTCATCCAGGGTTACCACTCGCTGCGCCAGCTGGTGAAGCTCTCCAAGCTGGAAGTGCCTCAAGAAATCAAAGATGTGATTGAACCCATCAAGGACAATGACGCAGCTATCCGGAACTATGGGGTGGAGCTGGCAGTGTCCATGTGCCGGGAGCTGTTGGATAG